CGCTGTTTGGGACTGGTTTAGGGTAGGCGGGAGAAAGGGAATCTTATTCTTCAGTCTATTGTGGTAGCCCTAGAGTGAAGAGGAGCTACCCTCCCTGAAAGGTGCTATTCTTGTTTCCATAGCAGCAGACGGCCTCAGACTTTGTGAAGGGGGGAGTTTCTGCAGTAGACAAACTATATCTATGGTATAGTATCGAAGGTATCTATACAACTAAAGAATGACCATCTTAGTTGAATCAGTCTCTAGGTTGACTAATTTAGATCCAACAATCCTTCGAATCCTAGCTATTCAGTATAACTCTATTGAATAAATTATGAAAAGATAAAATAAGATAAGTTTCATTAAGTATTTCTCATCGAGTTTTGCAATTCAAAATAAACTGAATTCAAGGACAAGAATTCGAAGAACCATAATTCAGCCAATTTTATTCATTTTCGGTATAAGCATAACACAAGAGCAAAAATTTTATTCTATTTCATAACCGTCGTTGAACAGTCGACCCAATCTTTTGGGTTTACGACTACTAATGTTTACGTATCCTTGTACTTTTGAACCTAATCCATAAGACAAGGGAACTCTTGGATCAAGTATTGGGAGAAATTTTTTCTCGTGGAGGACTCTTTTTTGATTGAACTAAGCCGCTTTTGCGTTACATGGAGAGGAACGCCACGAAAACCTACCACGGTTAGCCTGACGGCAAGGGGAATCTAGCCCATGATTCAACTACCACTGAGAATGTTTGACGTTAGCACTGTGGTCAGTGCAAGCCGAAAGCGGAATTTGTATCGACCAGCCATCGCTGGGATTCGAACCCAATCCACCTCATTGGAAGGCGAACGCTCTATCCCCTGAGCGAGCACGGCTCTAATTGAACTTTTTTTTTATTTTTTTTATCCGTCGTTGAACAGCCGACCTAATTTTGGGTTTACGACTACTAATGTTCAACTCCGCAGCCTTGTAATTATGAAGCAATCCAGAAGACAAAGAAACTCTTGGATCAGTTCCCCCAGAGGTGTGATTTGTTATGGGAACATGGAGGACTTTGGGACCAGACAGATTTAAAGTGTATCAGTCACCATTTACTACACGGGGATTCTTCGGCCGGCGAGGATCGAACCCACGACCTCTTGAACATGGGCCCAGTGCCCCAGGCTATTCCGGCCCTAAGAGCACATTTATTATATTAAATATTTTATTCTTTACATCAATTGTTTTCAATATCTATTATATATAATTCTCTTACATGGCTCCCAAATTTTGGCTGCATTTCTTTTCCGCCGGTGGCAACGTTTGCTTTGTTTTGAAAACACCAAAGCTTTCAGCCTTTTAATGATGTGTTTCTGATCTAATATATATAATTCTCTTACGTGGCTCCCAAATTTTAGCTGAATAAATCACAACTTACTGGCANGGAACTTCAGTATTCAAAAAAGTATACAAAAACTAGACGTTAAGAACGTATCCAATGAGCGAGCAAAGCGAGCATTGGATTGCGAAGCAATCCGAAATGAACTGCGAAAGAAGTTCCGGGGGTTGGTGAGCGCTAGCGAGCAGGGGGCGAAGCCTCCTAGTAATTAATAATTAGTAGACTTCTTTTAATTAGTATATTCACAGCACTTTCTTTTATAATGCGGGGTCTTTGGCAAAAGAAGATCGATCATTTAAGTTTGCACAACCGAAAATAATTGAGAACCACTGTCTTGAGAACAAATGAGGGAGGAGACGCATTCCAGCAGACGACATAAAAATGGTCTTCATAAAACTAAAAATAAAATAAACCACCAACATGGAACGCTATCTCAATAAACCACAAACCAAAGAGAAGAGGGCGGTTAATTACTTTACAAGAATGATGGGGGAGGGGTGAACATTTCATAGCAGGACTGCCCGCTGTGACGTAATTGCAAGGCACGTGCGCTGCATTGCGTGCATGGGGAGGGGGGTATCACGTAATCTGTAAACTATCATAGGAGTGCGAAAACAAGAGGTTCGGCAGGAATAAGGTCGAGAAAAAGGGTAAGGGTAAAATATAGTTATTTGGCTGGTTTGACAGAAACATTTATGGACAGAGGGAAACATTTTACATTTAGCAATAATTGATTCTACGCTTTTTTAATTTATTTACATCCATAGAGACGTTGTAAATGCTGAAATATTGATGATTTCACCACATTCTATGGGGAAAAACATGCATTTATCTACTGGTACAAGCCGTAAAATACAGAATAGGTTTATTTATATCAGCAAAGTCAATTCGAAATGCTTGGAGCACAAAGAACTGTACTTTTAGTATAAAGAGGAGATTAAACTATTGAGAAGGTGTACAGTGCGCAGAATAAAAAACGAACCACCCTTAATATCTTTTGATCTAATAATCGAATCTTCAGGTTCTATGACTCATTCTTAAAAGTTACGGAATCGGGCACAAAAACTGAATCTACTCATGCCTTTTCTTTAGACGAATTCAGATTTCTGTCCCCCAAAATATAGGAGGCAGGGGTCTGTCCAGAAATTTTGTGAAAGGTCAGTTTTTGTAAAATGGTGAAAAAATTGCTCGTAATTTGTGAATATAAAATAAACGTTAAGTCACATTCTTTCAACCAGGGTCCGCTTTTGTGAATTTGTGCAAAGAGGGTCCGTTATTAAGAAAAAAAAACTTTTTCAAGGATTTTTTAAATTGTAAAGACATACAAGATTATGCTCAACACTGTAAAATTATAATTAAAAAAATTAAATTNCGCTTTTGTGAATTTGTGCAAATAGGGTCCGTTATTGAGAAAAAAAACTTTTTCAAGGAGTTTTTAAATTGTAAAGACATACAAGATTATGCTCAGCACTGTAAAATTATAATTAAAAAAATTAAAATTTTAAAAATAAACAGCAATTACTAAATTAGCCTATACTGCTGAATGCAGAATATTCATTTCGGACGAATAAAGTGAGGAGCGTCTGCCGAAGACAAAATTTAGTTCGTTTACATCTGTCTTTCTCCCCCCCCCCTCCCTGGGAAGGGCTTATTCGATTAACAAAACAATAATGAAGGTAAACAAATTTGTGAAGGGTCCGATTAAAAGACAAATTATTTTGTGAAGGGTCCGTTAAAGGATCCAAATTTCTTCTAAACAGACCCCTGGTAGGTAGCAGCAATATGGGAGATATAGTCCTAATAGTTTAGTCGAAAGTTTTGACTCCTTTATGTTAATTATTTCGCCATATCTCGAGAACTTATGATACGAATTGAAAATTTTTTGCACACAATTATAAAATTTGTTTATCCAAAAATAATTCCACGCAAAAAATAAATTTTAGTAGATATTTTTTTACTCTTTACTATTTTATTTAACAACAGTCGAAAAAATATTGAATTGTAAGGTATAAAATTTTTTACATCATTTTAAAACAACTAATTTTAAGAGGCAAAATATAAAATTCAAGCGAAATCGGTTGAATAATTCCTGTGAAATCAAATTTTAAGAACGTCGCATGTTTAAAATTCAATTTCTCAAGAACTATTTACCTGATTTCGCTCAAATTTAGTGTTTTGAAATTTAAAATAAGATAGTTTAAAATGATGTAAAAAATATAAGCCTTACAATTTAAAAATTTTCAACTATTATTAAATGAAATAGTAAAAAATAATAAAAAAAAAATATTTACTAATTTTTTTTGCTTGGAATTATCTTATTATAATCAAGTTTTATAATTGTATACAAAATTGTTTCAATGCGTGTAAAAAGTTTTCGAGATATGGCGAAATAGGCAAAAAATAAAATTAACATTATGGGGTTCAAACTTATTAAAGATAAATAATAACAGTATAAGAGCGAGAAAAACAGTTCTATCTATTTAAGTTGTCGAAGTCACGTTAACGAGGAAAATTACTTTTCATTTATGTTGCCTAATTGAGTCATACTTTCACACATTCAATACCTTAGGTTAAATTTCTTTTCTTCAAATAAAGATGATCATTTTTTAAATCCAGATAAATGTTCATTTTATAACGATCGTTAAAAATGTTCCTATTTAAAACTACTTACTAGTATATTTTGTAAATAAAATGTATTTGTTTTGGTGGAAAATATGGCATTTCAAAGAATAAAAACTAATAGTCTGAAATAAATTAAGTTTTGAATGATATAAAAATATCAAAACAGCTCATGAGAAAGATAGTTTTAAAGATGATGAGTTTTAAGTTGAAAAACAGTTTTAAAATAGGGCAAAAACTACAAATCCATATTAAAAAAATAGTAATAATAAGAGTGAAAATATTAACTTATTTTTCTTACAAATGAAAAAAAAACTAAAACATTCAAACCATGGGGGAAAAAAAACATAATTTAACAGTGAAATNCAAATGAAAATGATAATTTTTTAAATCCAGGTAAATGTTCATTCTATAACGATCGTTAAAAATGTTCCTATTTAAAACTACTTACTAGTATAGCAACCACATCGCTAAGCTACAACAGCGCCACCACATACAAGACAGTGAATGCTCAGACTTCGAACTGAATGGACCTTACACTTATTTCTCCTTTTCTTAATTAATTAAATTTATGTTTGTTTGTCCGTGTGCTATATGTGTAGAACTAATAAAATATTTGGCACTAAGCATTCTCCCTTATTTTAAACCCCCCGAGATCTAGCAAGGGCCACACTAGCATATTTTGTAAATAAAATGTATTTGTTTTGGTGGAAAATATTGGCATTTCAAAGAAAAAAAACTAATATTTTAAAATAAATTAAGTTTTGAATGATATAAAAATATCAAAACAGCTCATAAGAAAGATAGTGTTAAACATGATGAGTTTTAAGTTGAAAAATACGCGCTTTAAAATAGGGCAAAAACTACAAATCCATATTAAAAAAATAGTAATAATAAGAGTGAAAATATTAACTTATTTTCCTTACAAATGAAAAAGAAAACTAAAACATTCAAACCATGGAAATAAAAACATAATTTAACAGTGAAATAAGTATAAGTTTCAAAATGTACTTACATACTAATCGAGAATAACAAACAGGACATGAAAAAGAAAAGAAAAATAAATATTTTGAAAACACAACAATACATTTAAATAATAATAGTAAATAGTCTAATATAGAACATATTTATTAGGCTGGGTAAAAAAAAAAATTTTTTTTAAAGCTTTGGTCGCACATTACACTTGAAATTTTAAGAAATTATAAAAATTCAAATTTTTTTTCCAGTCTCAAATTTAAGTTAAAATAATACCTGATTACAAGCTTCAGTCACTTCAAAAATATATAAATAGCACATAACAGTCGGCATGTACTTCAAAAATAAGCGCCCATTTTCATTCTAAAGCCTATTGTGACTATTTTTGAAGTGTTAGAAGCAAGTCGACTGTTATATGATATTTATATATTTTTGAAACGAATGAAGTTTTTAACCGTTAGATTATTAGAAATTTTAAAAACGGTTGACATCTTCCGGTCGGGCATTACACTTGAAACTTAAAGAAACTATCAAAATTGAACATTTCCCCCCCTAATCTCAGATTTAAGTTATGAGGGGGGAAAGTGAAGAGAATGGAGAAATCGCGTAACCTGGAATCGCAAATTCGATTTAAAAAGAACATGGTTCCCAATAAAAATAATATAAACACCGAGGGACTACTATTCTCCAATTCAACACATTCTAAGATTTAGTATTGAATAATTATAAATTAAGTAAATATAATTCTCACCTTGTGGTGGTCCTTTCGTTTCCAGCAACATAAAAAAGAAAAAAGAAATGTTAAAAAAACATAAACAACACAACGATTGAAAGACTTGGGACAATGTAATTAATTCTCAGTCAAAATTTCATTGACGAGAAAATTTCTAGTGCTTATTACGTCAATAACACCAAGATTTAAAATTCCGAAAAAAAATACGTAGCTGTAAAAAATACTAAGAAACAGTTTGATATAATAAGTCACCTGAAGAATAATATTAACATAAGCACTTAAAATCTATTTATTTACCAGTAAAAGCTGTATACAAATTCATTAATAAATAAGTTTATAATAAATTTTCTTCAGGACATTCTAACAAACTACAGTAAAAGCACGATGTAACGCGTACGGCGTATTACGATAAGTCCGTTGTTACGACAAGTTTCCGTCATAATACAGTCGGACTTCTACTTAACGAACTTCCCATTTGCGAATTCCTTTATTTTGCGAGGAACCAAGAACATTTTGGAAATTACTTCGTAAAATAACTGGAAAATAGCGAAGTGAATTTCCTATTTAACGAACTTTTCTTAGAGATCCACTTTCCCTATTTCCCAAAACATTTTAAACTTGTTAAAGCATTTCAAGGGGGAAATGACCTTAAATTGATTTTCTTTTACAGAAAGCAGTAAAATCCAGTAGCAGTAATGTATGAAAATATGTTTAAAATTACTATTATAATAAATGCAGCTATAATTTGATACATAAATTTAGTTTTTTTTTTAGTTGAAAATGTATGTAGCATGATCTGGATGTTTTGCTCTGCTGTTGCTTTCCATGCAGATTTCTTTTATGGCTAAGATTCATAAAATAAATAGTATAGATACTAGTTTACACGATAAAGGTGTATCGATAGCTATTTTCATTATGTCTAGTGTTTATGAATTAAAAACCTGTTATGTGTCTTTTAAGTAATGCAAAATGTGATTTTCTATTTAACAAATTATAACGAACTTATAATCGGGATTTAGCCACCTGAACAGAGGTTCGTCTGTACTAACATTAAAGATATAAAGATTTTTACAACAAATTTGAAATAGTTACCCTATGTTTTATTATTATTATTAATTTATTTATTTTAAAAGAGAAATGTATTTGTATACTTTTTAAGCTATCAACATTATATGAAAAAAAAAACAAAATTTAATTCATTTCTGGTATCATTACAGAAAAGATAAAAACGAAACTTATTTTAATTTCAATTCCAGATTAATATAGAGTGCGTAGCAAAATCTTTCAAGAAAAAATAAGCACCTTTTAAGTATTTTTTAAGCACTCAAAAAATATTTTTAAGCATCATATACATTAACTAAATTCAAAATAATTTTCTAAGACTTTACACGATCATGATAAAATAACTAATTTCTGACTAAGAACTCATTTTCTTGATTGCATTAACCATTAAAAAATGATCAAGCGATTTTTCAGTTCGATTTCAGAGGGCGGAAAATGAAGCTTGAATTTGAGAATATCTTGCAAAATGTAGATGAGTTGCACATGAGAGCGCAATAATCTCACCGAACCCAGGTTACATGCGGACTCGCAAATATTTCATCAAACTTGTATAGTGATTGGCGCTTTCATGCGCAATGGACCAACGGTAAGCTGAAATAGATTGTGGTTGAATGAATTGAGAAAACGTCGAATAGAACAATGTGAAAAGCATGCTTTTGCACAATACATGGCGAAAATTGACACGGTAAAGAAAAAAAAATCTAATTTTCGAAAAGGGAAAATTAAGCAGTTTTTAAAAACAAACAATGAAAAAAGCACTTTTAAGGGCTTTTAAAAAACGGAAATCAAAAATAAGCACCTTTAAGCACTTTTTAAAAACGCTACGCACCATGTTTATAGAGGCATGTGTGAGTGACCCACTGTCAAGTTATCTTCTTTCTTACACAGAGAAACACTTCTGTTTTACGAAACGCTCTGTTTCTGTTCCTTCAAAATACTTCAAAAGAATGTGCCTTTCGCGATGACCACACATTTACAATGTCACCTTTATTCTTTCTTGACCAGCTTACTATTTTCACGTTTAATGTGCTTCCTTATAACATCAAGCTCACTATAACGACAATTCCTGCTGATATTGCGAATTGTCGTTATAACGGTCTTTTATTGTTATTTAAAGTGGAAGTCGAAATTAAAAATAAAAAATTACATCACTAATGAAGAAAGTAAAGAATGCTTGAAAGTAATTTATGTTGAATCACTTATCATAGCCGGAATATGATTTTGACGCCTATTTTAATAATTTTCATTATATAATGAATATCATACAAAATTTATCAATAAAAATCATTCCAGCTACAAAACTTAAATCAGAATATGAAGTAAACATTGTTTTAAATTCCACATAATTGCATGAAAAAATAATAAATAAATGACATGAAAAATAGGAAAGAGTCTTTCAAATATTACGTAAACATCTAACGGAGGAAGGGTTTTGAGAATTGCTTATTTTTGCTGACAAGAGGGGAGACGGGGTGATATTCACATCCCCCTATTTTCAAATTTATTTAAACGGGCAAAAGGAGCGATATTCAAATTACCTTATTTTCAAATTTATTTAAAATCTTTAAGTTTGGAACAAAATTCAGGGAAAGAAGAAGTCTGAAAAATTTTACTCAATATATATATTTCTGGATAGAATTTACAGAAAATTTTCTTAACAGACATTCCCGTTTGTTTACATCTAGAAAATTATGGAAGCATTCGAAGCATAAAACCGGAAGATATCAAGATGAAAGAATTAGCTTATAGCTTACACAGAGAGATAAAACTTAGGGGATAAAAATGAAAGTTAACGAAGTAAAAATACTTAAGAGAGTAATGGGTAAAACGAAAGAGAAGGAGAGAATGTGTTATGAACATAACATAGTCCAGAATTGTTAAAAATATGCTTACATAATATTTCGACCCCAAATGGCAAATTTTAAACTAAACGACGTCCTTTTATAAATCGAACTCATGCGCGAACGAAATTATAATTTTCTCATGAAATCAGAAGAGCTGAATAAAAAATTTATGAATAAATAAACAAATATATACGTGACATTCTTACTCTTTAACCAAACAAATAAGCGATAATGTTTAACAAACTGATATGATCAAGCAATGAGGAAATAAATTTTGCAACTGTAAGAATTTTTGTGACAATACAATTGAATAGTACAAGTCCACACGACAAAGTACCCGCCTTCCCAAACAGCAACTGCGTCATTAATTGAAAATGCTTTTTATCCAGCTGTCCTCCCCTCCATTAACTCTGGGGAGTTCGTTAGTTTTGATCATGTGAGATAATCTTATATAGAGTTTTATCATGGGTGACCTTTTCAACTCTGTTAATGGATGAAGTTGTCACTTTTTAGCGTGGTGATGCTTTATATAATGCCACTGCTTCTATCTTTTGTCGTTGAAGTGTATACGATTGTGTGTTTCGTATTTTGATGCGGCGATTTTAAGATCGTAAGGAGGGCAACAATTCTATTATACCTTGAATACCCCAGGTCGAAATTCTTGATGGTCCCATCAAAACATTTTGATGGTCTATGTTGGTTTTAGTGCGATTCATGATGGTCCAACATCATTTGATGGTCATCATGATCCAACATATTCAATTATGCATTCATGGCTTTTGATATGCGAACAAACTTTCATCACTCCATGATGAAAAATGCTATTTGATGGTAATGATATACTATGATGGTTAACCATCAAGAGAAGTTTGATTCTCATGGATCAACAATCCATGACGATCCGTGATGGTTCCAACTAAACTTTTCCATGATAGTTTAATTTGAATTCTTTCTCAGGAAAATACCATCAAAACAATTTTTTTTTTGTTGGCCCATCAAAAATCAGTCAGAATTCCAACATTGGGGTAATGGTTGTTCATGATCTTTCCAACATTTGATTTCTAAGATACTAAGATGAAAATTCGTGATGATCTATAATGGTACAACAATGCATTTCTATGATGGTTTAATAATAATTATTGTTGGTTCAGCAGCAAAATAGCATCAAAACAAGTTGCTATTTATATGTTGGCCCATGAAAAATCAGAATTCCTACATTGGGTTGATGGTGGTTCATGATCGTTCCAACTACTAATTTCTAAGAAACTATGATGGAAATTTCTGATGGTTCAACATGTACAAACCATCAAAAGAAGTTGCTATTCTTATTTTGAACAATCATAATTCAGCCCGAATTCCTACTTTGGGGTGATGGTTATTTATGTTGGTTACCATCAAAAATATAATGTTTCAGAATGGAATTATTGATGGTTACTGTGAAGATTGAAAGCGAACTGAAAACGATACTTACTATGAAGAAAGGAAGGGGGAAGAAGGAGAAGTGAGAGAGGAGGGGTAAAGGTTGGTCGTTTTAGAAGAAGCGGGACTTTTGTCGAGGACTGACATGTTACTTTTCTTTGGGATAAATACTCTTGTTATATATGTGTTTAGAATAGTTGTGTAAATAATGTGCTGCATAACTTTCAATAAATTAATTAAGCAGCTGAAGATCTTCGTTTAATTTGGATGATGTGTTTAATTATATATATACACACCGTAAGATATCCGGCCACGAGGGGGAAAGAAGAGATTTTCACTGTTACCATTAAGATTATGTTGGTCTATCAATGGAAAACCATAAAAAAAATTTGACTCTGGTAGCAATTAGATATTAATCGAAATTTACCAGTTTTGAAACTAAAATTTTAAAGGACAGATCCAAAATCCACTATGTAAAAAAATAAAAAAAAAGGCCTGTTTTACAGTTAAGTTGGAATAGATTTGCAAAATTTTCAGAAAATTGTCTATTTCGTAACACGGCTAGGCAGAATTAAAGTAGGTTTGTCACAGTTTTGGATCAACTAAATCTTCAAAAAATTCCTGTTTCTGAACGTGAAACATTTGGAAATATTTTATTTCAAGACTGAGTGGAACTAACATGTCATTTTTGAAGTCAACAAACAT